TATTGAAAAGCCAAACTCATATTTCACCTTGGGAAAACAACACATCATCCAGCTCACCACTTTGCAGATGCCTGAGAGACGAGGGTGTTGGTGCTGCTGAGGCTGGGATTAGCTTTTGTGTCACAGGCCAGTCTGAGGGAATATGGTTCATGTCTTGGGCTATAGCCCTTATCAGAGATGATGGGACGGAAGCTGATGGTGAGTATCATTGCTGGGAATTGGGGGTTGTTAAGAAGTTTTGCTTTGTAAGTATGTATTAAGCATTTGGCTTTTAACAAAGGTTTTTTGTTGCTGGTATATGTAAATGTAATTAGGTATATAAAGTTATTTGAATGTTTTAATTTATTCTTGCATATGATACACCAATGTTTGAATGTGAGCAATGTCCAACAGGAAACCTCACATATTTTTGTCCAACCTGAGATGTGACCTGTTGCCCTTTGTGGTTCTTGGGGTCCCCCTTTCGCACTCCCTGCTCGGCCGGCGGCAGGTCTGGCTCCCTCCAGGTGGTCAGCAGGCAGCCCTGCAGCAGCAGCCCTGGGGCCAGCTTGGTTTTGCCTCCTTGGAGGCTGCAGGGGATATCTTTTTGTCTGGGGCTACTTGGGCTTTTGGATACAGTTAATACTTGTGGAAGGCCTTTCCTCTGTGGAAGGTACCAGCAGGGTAGAGCAGCTCCCAGGCTCCCGAGGGGTCTTCTGCTCTCTTAAATACACAGGGACTACGCATTCCCACTGATACTCAATCCACTGCAAGCCCTTAAAGACCAGATTTCCCCGAAACATGAAGCACTCCCCACTCCTGTAGTCTTCTCAGTTTTTCTAGCAGTATTAGACCCAGGAGGTTTTGGTGTCAATACTGCTTGTGATTAAAGTACACCACAGGTGCCTTTCAGGGAGCCAGGCAAATCCATCTATGCCATGAGCATTGCTGACACTGAAACCCATGCGGGTCATTCTCAAGAAGGACTGATGCAGCAGCCTGACAGGCAGGAGCTGATGACCGTGGCACCCCTGCCCAAGCTCACTGAGCGAGCAGGCAACAGATCCCAGCACATGTGGGATCTGCAAAGGTAAAACTGTCAGCTCAGATAAGTGCTTGCAGCAGTGCCCTGAGTGCGCATGGCGCATGTGCCCTGTCTCCTTCTGTGTAAAATAATTGCAGGATGCAGCACCCCTTTTGCTGTCTTCCATCGACCAAAATCCTCATGTCACCCACTCTTGCCAAGGCAGCACCTCGATCTGACGCATGGGCAGGTGAAAGCTGTGGAGTAACATCTGTAAGGGGGGGAAGCAAATACCTGGGTCTGCTTTTCTTAGCGTCTTGTTTGCTTAATATGGTGTGAGAGCACAACATAAATACTTTTGAAGGTGCATGTTCTCAAAGCGTTCCCAGAAGTACCTCAACTGCAGCTGGCAGTAAGGGATGTAAAGAGAACCTCCCATTTCTGCACAGTTTTAACCATTTGCCATGTCTTTCCCGTTAAAAAAAAAAAAAAAAAAGGCAGAGAGCTAACAGGCAGAGGGAGAAGTTCTTGATGGGAGCAGCGGGTTTGAAGTCACAGCTGAAACTTGTAGCCATTGGAGAAAGCCCCGGGAGAAGAGAGCCTGCTGGATGGGGAGGTGGGGTGCTCCGCCAGGGAGAAGCTGTGCAGGAGTTGCCATGAGAACCTCGCCTTTCCCTGGCACTCACTGGGGGGCCAGTGATGCTCCCGGGGGTGCCAGCGCCCTGCAGACCAGCCTTTCAGGCCAAGGCTTCTGGTAGCCTTCGCCTAACGCCATACTGGGTGGCAGTGAAAAAATACATGTAAAGCATCACACATCCAATGCCTTGTGCAAAGCACTTCCAAAAGGAGGAAAAAACATAAGGAGCAATTGCAACTCCCCTTAATTTACATGTTTTCTTTAAGGCTGTGGTAAACGGCAGCAAGACAGCGAGAAGGGAAAGGCTGCAGGGGGCTGCAGTTTTGCAGCAGGTTGGCAGCAGCCTGTTGCAGGGGGTGTGTTTCCTTTCTCCCAAGGCAGTGGTGGTCAGGACCTGGGAATAGGAATCCGCATGACTTTCAAGAGGAGACCACACTTAAAAGCTTGAGTGGAGACCTGGGCTTTGTCAACGAGGATTTCTGCCTGGGAGTGGAGAGGGGTGGCTTGCGTTCCCCCTGCAGTGGTGTGCCCGGGCAGGAGAGAGGGGGATAGCATGGGCAGCCGTGCTGAAGCAATGTTGTGCATGAAACTGCACCCAAGTCATACTCCTGATAGCCCACGGCTCTGCTGCCTGGCCATTGCACACATATCCCCACCATGCCCCAAGCCCCCCAGCATGTCCTCCTGCCACAGGCTCCCCTGGTCCACGGGTGGGAGCTGCAGCGGGGTGGGTGCGGTTGTGCATGGACCTGGGCTGCGCTTCCCATGGCAACTGTGGAGCTGTGACGTGTCAGCACGCCCATGATGTCATAAGGTGCCCGCTAGAAGGCTGCAAGAGCACCTGTGGCTCACACACTCACCTCCAGACAAAATTCTCAAGGCAATTTTTTCCCCCCTGCGAGTGCAGGCTGCCATGGCCACACTCGTGCCCTGATGCGCTTTGCAGTGTGATGATGTCGTTGCACGATCACTTTTTGGAAGACGCCAAGCGTGATTTGAGGCAGGTGGAGGGAGAGATGCAGAGGCAGATGCTGCTGCTGGACCTGCACCTGCGGCAGCTCCACGAGGAGCTGTCTGCGTCCTGCCCATGCAGCCTGGCCCCACGCCCCTGCTGCCTGCGCCGGCCCGACCTCCGCCCCTGGGAGAGAAGGGCCCTCACTGCAAGGCTGGATGTGGAGCGAGAACTGGGCAGGTAACAGATATTTGCCTGCTTTCTACAGGCATCAGCATTCTTTAAGGCAGGATGAAGGGAGGTTTGGCATCGGTGTCAGGAGCAAAGGTGGAAACAGATAAGCAGAACGGGAGAGAAATAGCTGTTTTCAGAGAAATTAGTTGAAAGGGGAATGGGAAGGCACAGCTTGTTCAGCCAGGCAGCCCGAGAGGAGCCACGCGTGCAGCACCTGCGCCAGAAAGGGTTTGGACCATGGCGTTGTGACATTAACCATCTCGCAAACTGCATCTGAAGTAAAGTACACAACTAGATTCAAAGCTGTTCAGCTGTGGAACAAAGTCCATCTTCGACTGGACTAATACAGTTTAAGTCTGTTAAACACGTAATTATCTTCATCAGTAGCCAAAATGTGTGTCCATATTTTCCCACCTCGTACAGTAGGAAGAATAAGTGTCAGGATTTCTACATCTCCATTTTCACCGCTGGTGTGATGGTTTTATTTTGTTAATGGAGTTCAAGTTCTCTAGTAGAAATAAAACCCAAAGGTAGCCCTACGGGAAGGGAGCTGTTGAATGGTAAAACCTTACCATTTGGGTTAAGGCACAACCAAGTATTGAGAGACCAGAAGGGCTAAGAAGTCCCTTGGTCATCAGCAGCAGTGGGAGTCTCTTGCTGCATTTGTGGCATTGGTATTTTCTCCCCAAACTCAAGCTTCTGTCTGAGTTCTCGTGTTGCGCCTGGAGATGATGAGACCTTCATCTTGGCAATTAAAAATGTGACATTTTTGTTACCCGCAGAGCAGCAGCATCCTGCAGTCTGCCATGTGCATTATCTACTGGGTGCAACAAAGTTAGAGGAAAAAGGAAAAAAGCCTGACCCTGGGTTAATTTTACACTGACTTCAGCAAAACTAAAAGTTGCTGTGAGGTCACTTTAAACTTACCCAGTAGCTGCAGCTCACACAGGTCTGCCGAGTAGCAAATTTCAGATCCTGGGTGTTACAGGACCGGTGTCTGTGTCCAGATTTTCATCAGTGCATTGGGTACCAGAGCTGGGCAGGCACAGCATCCCCTTGCAGAATCATTGCACACCAAAATCACAGTGAAGGAATGGAAATTCAGTCTGAATGGAAGCTGGGGGCGGGGTGTCTCAGGATGGGCCGTGAGATCCCAGGGCACAGTATCCCTGAGCGCCAGGCTCCCCAGCCCTGCCACACTCAGGACAACTTGCTGGTTTGAACGCGAGTCCGTACCACTGCCATCTGAAACCACACCACAGCAGAATTTCAGCCCATCACACTGGGGAAATTCAGCCATCCCCTTCCCACAAAAAATGCTGCAAAGGACCAACTCTTCTCAGCACACTGACTCTCCTCCTACCAGCAATATAAAAAGACCAAAGGGGCAGGTAGAGGAGCCAGCTCTCACAAAGCACAAAAAATGCATCCCAAAATCACCACACCAGGTTGAATCACTGCTGGCTTTAAGTAGGATTGCTGAAATGGGTGTACCTTGCTAACAAACCACTTGTTAGGGATTTCTCACCTTAGTGGTCATGCCCATTCCTTTATTGCTTGCCCTATTTCCTCTTCCATCACACCATTATGTTTTTAATTTGGTGCCTTGTGTCCAGTTCAGCTATTATAACTGAGGTGACCCTTCCATTGTCTACTTTACAAATGGTTTGAATAAAAGCCAGCCTTCTGGTTGAGCGGAGTCACTGTTTGACAGTATTAGAAATCATTTTAATGGCTCAGTAAGCCTCCAGCCCAGCTCTGCAGGAGCATTTTGGGGTTTTTTTGCCAGATGTGTCTCCTATCCACTGATTGCTTTAAACAAAACTCCTAAATGGAAAATGTGATCTATTGTAACTATCCATTTAAAATGTAGGACAAGGCATAAGATGGACACACGTGGCTGCGTGGGCATACGTACGTGTGATCTTTCAGCGGCATGAAAGAATTTTTCAGCTCCACAATTGCCCCATCCTAAGAGGGGACACTGAAATACTCCTCACTGCTGTGGCGTGCAGGTGGGAGCTCCTTCTGACGGTGCAGACACCACCCCAAGTGCTGTGCATCAGCATGCAGATGGATCCAATAGTTTCCTATTTACTTCTCTTGTCCTTAAGGTGGTCCACCCATTCCTCTGTGAGTTGTACTGAACGGCTGTCCTCTTGTTTTTATTCCAGCATGCAAAGAAGACTTAACAGGATGTTGAACTCTTCCCATGATCACAAGCTTTTGGCTTTGATGGACATGAAGGGTTTTGACCCCAAGGAAGTCACTGTAACGGTGAAAGACAGGAAGGTGAAGGTGTTAGCGGAGCACGAGGAGGAGCATGCCACTGCAAGAGGGAAGGAGTACAACTACAGAAACATCACGAGGGAAATCAGCCTGCCGCCGGGGGTGAGTGAGGACGAGGTGACCTACTCGCTGGGACCGAATAGCGTCGTGAAGATCGAAACGGCACACAAGTGCTACCCTTGTCTCCTGGGCAACTGAGCCGCAGCAGGGAGCAGCACCCGGGCACAGTCATTCCTCTGCCGCATCCCTCCTCACCATCAGCTTTAGGTCTGTCCTGCTAACCATGCGCCAGCAGCTCCTCAGGCCTCTTCCGAAATAAAAGACAGCATTCCGAGCAGATGTGTGTGAGCCTCATTTTGAAGGGGGGCAAAAAGGGGGATGCCAGCAGGAAAATGCAAAGATGGTTTTAGGCATACTCGGCTGCGGTCACTTGCTGGGTACCGAAGGCATGGCTGGAGGTAGCGTGGTTCAGGGCGGGCATTGCTGTTGCGTTCAATCTCATGGATTTTAAAGGCTGGAAGGCACCATTTATGATCAGTCACATTTCTGTAAGGACACTTCTCTCAATTCCACCGCTTCCATTTGAGCTGTAGGATATTTCTAGGAAGAAAACCTTGATAATTAACGCCTCGAAAGGAAGAGCCTCCCCCCCAAAAAGAAAGCTGTGCCGTTTGTCCCCTTGGTTTGGTTCTTGCAGAGGCCGCCTGGCTGGGAAGAGCCGCGGTTGAAGGACAGAGATCATTTCCTTAGAAGACGTTGGGACTAGGGCAGAGCGCTTACCAGCTGAGGAGGGGATGACTAAAGTGTTTCCTGCTGTAGGAATCAATAGCTCCAAATTAATAAGAAAACATTTCTCATGTTGGAAGAGAGGGAGAATTGCCAATATAATTTCTTCAAGGTAATATTAATGAAAAATTTAAGGTCCAAAGTGGGACCTCACACAACCACAGCCCTCGCTCTCCCTGAGCACAGGGCCCAGCAGGATCAGTGGGATGGGGGTGACACCAAGGGACAGCCTTGCAGGGGGATTGCATTTGCTGCCCCAGTCTCAGCACTTGGGCACACACTCCTGCGGGAAGCAGCATTAGCTTTCACTGCAGAAAGGCATGTAACAAGACAATATACCTGATGCCCATTTGCAAGCTGCCTGGGCAAGCCGTCTCTCCAATGAGCACCACCCGGTTCAGGCTTCACGAGCCCCCGGGGCTGGGGGGAGGAAGGTTGCCACCTCTTTTTGTGGTGCAGTCCCCCACGGCAGATTTTCCTGGTGGGGAACCTAATGCTTTAGGTTGTGCTGGCACAGAAACGAACCTCTGACGTTAACTAACCTGTCAGGGGAGAGGGTGGGCAGCCCGCGGGCCGGCGCCATGCAGGTGTGCTGCCCACTCAAAACCCCTCAGAAGTGGGGTGTCATCCCCTGCCATTAGCCTGGCTGAGAAATGCAGTTGTTCGCTGTCACACAGGGGGACCCTGGCCCCCATGGGACCCCTGCGCTGCTGGGGCAATGCGCCTCTGGCAGCCAAGGGGTCCCTGGTGCCGAGAGCTCCCACCCACTGCTGCAACAGGGATATTACCCTGGAAACACTCACGCCTAAAGAAAACAAAGCCAGGCTTTTATTTTCAGCCTGCAAACAGCCAGCCTCACTTTCACAATTTACATTCATCGTATGAAGATGGTGAAATCAGAGGGGACAGGTTACAAAGCAGTGAGTCAAGGGCTGGGAGCACCACGGCTGGGGGACACCCCCAGCTCCACCGCCCCCTGCTCCTCTCCTCCCGGCTGGAGACACACTCCAGCAAGGAGCAAAAACATCCCTGTCCATGCATTCAAAAGGCTCAGAGCAGCCCGCTGCATCAATTTGATGCTGTTTGGATGAGGCTGGTGAAGTCAGCAACACCTCGGCCTCCTGTCGAGCGAACACAGCTCCTTAGGGCAGCTCACTGCAAGCATCTCCCCAAAATCACCAGCGTCATGTAACAGCTCCTTCAGTCAAACAGCAAGCAGTTGAGGATCAGCTTGGCTTGGCAAAAACCAGCTAGGTAATTTAACTTTGGTGCAAGAAATGTGCTGCTTCTGGCACGTTTGCAGCATCCAGCTAGCACTTAAGAACCAGCTGCTAACAAATTTTAAGCTTTATGGGCTCGGTGCGTAGCTGGGTCAGTGTAGAACCATAGAGCCATTGGTTTGGGTTGGAAGGGACCTTTAAAGATCATCTAATTCCACCCTTCCTGCCGTGGGCCGGGACATCTTCAACTAGATCAGGTTACTCAGAGCCCCGTCCAACCTGGCCTTGAAGACTTCCAGGAATGGGGCATCCACAACTTCTCTGGACAACCTGTTCCAGTGTCGCACCACCCTCATTGTAAAAAGTTTCTTACATCCAACCTAAATCTACCCTCCTGCAGTTTAAAACCCTTGTCCTGTCACTACAGGCCTTGGTAAAAAGTCTCTCTCCATCTTTCTTATAAGCCTCCTTTACATATTGAAAGGGCCACCTATGCACAGGTAGCCTGATTCTGCTGATGTTGGTCGAGGATGTTTAGAAATAAGCCATACCTCAACTAGGAGGCTGCAAGGGAGCCTCCCGTGAGAGCAGGTGGCAGGGACGGGGACTGGGGTTGCTACAGACCCCCAGAGGAGACCATCTTCTTATGAAGCAACCCACTGAGTAACAAAACTGAAACCCCTTTGGGATACAGACTTCTCACTTTGTAGCTATTTCTACTGTCTACACATGCAGAAGAGAAACATATTTCAACACCTCCCGTTCACCCGTGGCTTCAGACTTGCAGAATATATCGAGTCCCGTGGCAATCATAGGGCTATGACTGCTCTTATCCTTATTGCTCATCCTTTAACACATGCTTTTCACACTTTCTTCCTAAATTAGGAAGGCTCCTAACACCAAATTACACTCCTGAGCAGCAAGACTTTATTGACAGAATGACTTCATTCCCAGATTTCAAGACTAGAAGGCACCGTCAGATCATCTAGCCTAATCTCCTCTTATACTATCTTATACCACAAATAAACTGCCCAAAGTCTAACTTCCAGGAAGATATCTAGTCTTTATTTGAAGACTTCAGGAGGCAGACTCCAGCACCTCTCTTTGCATTTTGCTCCAATTGGTAATTTCCTTGTAATTAAATGTCATGCCTTGTTACTGACATGAGGTTGTCTGGCATCATCAGTTCATTTTTTTTTTCTCTGCCAGATGACAAAAGCCCTCAGAAGCCGACTTTGCAGTAACTCAGTAGCAGCTATGAACTTCTACACTGTAAGCAAGTCACTTTTCAATCTTGAAATTCTGAAGTTTCTCATCGTAAGACCTGGTGTCCAACTCTCTAATATTTTTAGCTCATTCTTGCCCCCTTTTTCAAATTTTTGGTGCCCTTGGCAAAGGTGGCCACCAGGACTGGCTGCAGTAATTCCCTCTCCACCCCACCAATACAGCGTACGGAGGTAGAAACACAGTGTTGGCTCTTTTATCGTCTTCCGAAGACGGAAAGGTCTCTGTATCTTTCTGATGCTGCGTTGCACAAGGTTCTCCTGCCGGGTGGCCATTTCACTCTCAGCCCTACAGCTCACTGAAGGAGTGCCGTCCCCCCTTTGCAGGCTGCAGCCTGGGAGGGCGGCGGGTGCTGCTCCTCCTCACGCTGCAGACGCAGAGAACGTTGGCGTGGCAGCCCAGGGGACGTGAGAAACATCCGCACGCTTCAGTTATTAAAGGAAGATTTAAGAAAAAGCTGCTTGGTTTATATTTTTTCTTACAGAAATGAGCCAAAAAAAGCCATTTCTTCCTACTGATTAGGACTCCCAGTGTTTAAATTCAAAGAGGACTTGCAGGCTGGGGGGCACATCATAGGGGGCATTCTGAAGAAAATTCCTAATTCATTTTATATCCCATGAAATGTTAGTTCAGGTTGGTAGGAGCATCTTTAAGACCTTTTCCGTAGTGGAAGCAAATCACTCAAATAGTCACTTAGTTTTGTGAATACCTGCATGCTGTAAATACCTTGGGACATAGCCAAAAGCACTCTCAAAATCTGTGCTCTCCACATACTGCTTAGATGAGAGTTTGCTAAACGAAAATACCTTTGGAAAACCACCATTAACACAGCAAGACCTGCTCACATCAGCATTTCCCTAAAAGAAATCCATTTGCCACTAGGTGGCAGATTTTTTTTTTTTTTCCTATTTACCACTGTGTAACTCTTTTAAAAACAAACCCAGTGAAGGTGGTGTTACAAAGCAGTAAGGCTGGCATGCGCTGCAGCTGGCATTTTTCTTTGCAACACTAATAACAAATGAAGAGGAGGGCAAGAGTTAGAGCTGTGGTTTGTGATCCTGGGCGTGCAGGAGCCCTCGCGACAGACCACCATCACGTTAGGTTTCTGCGCTGGATTATATTGACCTTCGATCCTGCAGCTCTTCCCCCCTGAGTACAGCTCCTGGATAAGGCCAGTTTCATTTGCTTCAGCAGCCCAGCTCTACCGCAGCTGTTATCCTGAACAGGGATTTCCAGGACTTAATGTATTCTTCAGCATATTGTTGCACCAAATTATTTTGGGGGCCAATTTTGACCATCCTCATATGGCAAATGCCCTCTCTGAATTCCCTGGCATGAGGAAGATGGCTGAGAGGGCGACTTGGCTCTGTAGTTATAAACGTTAGTGCATTCTTGAACTCCAGCCTTATCGGGGCATTTATAAATAGCCAGAGCCCTAGAAATGTGTAACGGGAGGTCATCTGAGGATGCTAACTCCAGGCATCTCTTCAGTCATGGGTTTCTAGGGGTTTTCCTGCAGCCAGGCAGTGCTCTGCAGGCTTAGCTCGTGTAGAAATGTTATTTCTCTCCCAGCTGTTGCGAAACTGGGGAGAGAAGTACCTCAGTGGGAAGGTGCAAAGCGATCCCAGCTTTCCTCTCCTGGCGTGCCAGTGCGCTGCTGCTCCCGAGAGCACCGGCACTGCCCCAGCTCCCGCTCTCTCTGCGGGCAGCGGCAGCATGGGAGGGCTGTTCCTGCAAAGGAGCAAGTTGTTGCCTGTCACAGGGGCCAGCCCCACTCTTCACGCCTCCGTTCCTCATCCTCCGCGCAGCGGCACGGCGAGGCCGTCGGGATCACGCCAGCCATGTGGGGCTGGTGCGGCTGCCCTCCACACAAGGTGAGAAACTTCATCCATCCATTTTATTTGTGCTTAAGTTAAATTTAACCATTGTCCCTGCGAAGCCGTTTGGCACCTCAGACTCTTAGA